AACACAGTAGCTATGTGAGATACTGGGTGGGAAGGCAGGGGGTTCAGGCTGCATGAGAAAATTGTATTGCTGGCTGTGGAAGATACCCCTGTCTTACCTTGTGGGCAAAGAATAAGTTAAGGTGAAACCAAGACTTCTGTTCCACTAGCAATTGCGTCAACATAATAGCTGTTGAAAGGAGGAGATGAGGAGATCTCGCTGTCCTCACTTTGCTCTTAGCCATGCAGCCTTACCTTTCCTTTGGCTACATCTTGCTCTCTTTGGAGTGACCTGGTGTAAGTGCCTCAACATGAGAGGGGGCTGGCCACACACAGGTCAAGTGATAACTAGTAAGAAGTATCTGACAAGAAAAATGTATTTCAGTAGGAGTATTATCAGGTATCTGAAGCTTCATATAGGCCCACGTTTTTATACAGAAGTAGGAATAATTTTGGGTGATTACGTATATTTTGTAGTATCTTATATATTTGTAAGAAAATTGGTGTGTCCCCCCCCCCTTTTTTTAATGGTGGAATGGGGAAAGGAGGGATGGCATGTATTTTGACTTCTATCAGTGGAAACTGTTCCAAAGTAAGAACAAGAAGTTTCTCCTTTCCCTTTCGAAAAAGAAAGGTATGTAAGTACAGTTGTTTATGACTCATAGTTATCTTCTCTGAGAGTCACCAAAAGAGACTCTTTAGATTAAGGGTGTTTTAGAGGATAAATTTATGTGAACGTACAGCTCTGTTTGTGATCATTATCTATAAGCTATTATGGTTAAAGTAGATAGGTAGGATTTTTAGATTTTGTCTTTAATTCTGGTATTAGAATCTTACAAGGGGAGAAATGGAATTGTTGGCTGCAAGCACTAAAAGACCTCTGCATAGTATTATTTTTCATTACTGACTCGTGAATATTTTCTTGTAGGCTTAGGAAGACCTATAGTGAAGCATTAGGTATTGTAAGTGTTTAAAGACCTGAAACTGTTTCAGTCCAGTCTTCCAACTTGTTTTTCTGGTGACTTGAAAAGGAGTTCTAGGAATTTGGAACCTTTCCAGGAGTGTGTGTTGATTCGTTTTTCAAGGAGAGGCAGCAAGCAGTTAATTCAGTTCAGCTGTGACATGAAGCACCAAACCTTTAAGAGCCAGCATGGACGGGTGATATTTAACTGCTTAAAAGCCTGTACAAACTAACGTTGATTGGTTTGATGCTGTAGAAGGCAAAATTTTGCTGCTAGTACTAAAGCAAAGGTTTTTTGGTGTCATCAGTATTGGATACTTCTATTTTCTGGAAATTTTTTGATGAAATATTAATGGAAAGAGGGCCAGATGCTAAAGGGAAAAATAGATCTTGGAGTTAGGGCTTCCCAAGCTCTCCATTCTATTTATGGTGGCTGGGAAAGTGTGGTACATATCTGGAGTGACAGTGTTTAGGTTATAAAGGTTAGGCACAGGCTACTTGTTTTGTAACTCTCTTCCTGTAAAAGAGAAATGGTTAGAGATGGTAAACTGCAATTGTGGGCAGACTGTGTGTGTACTAAATAAAGGTTCTACTCTTCACCAAAGCTGTAAGGCCTTACTTTGAAATAACAAATGTCAGTTTACAGAAGAGCTAGAAAGGGGAATAACATCTTAAAATAACATTTTTAAGAGCACCTAATGTTCTTAAGTTGATGCCAGACTCTGAGCTGCAGTGAATGAGAGTAATAACAAAGTAAGGCAGGAATTGGAAGTAAGGCAAGAATAGTAATGGCAGAGGTATTTCATGCTATCTTGTAAACGGCATTTTCTGTTAAGAACAGTGTTTAAGGAAAGCTTTCTTAAACCTGAGTTAATATGTTTGGCTTGATATTACCATGACCTGTCTTTTTAAATGTGTAGTTAGTTTTCCACCTTGATTTGAAGATGCATTTACTAGGTACGGTTTAAGGGAAAAAGGATATATTCTGTTATTCTTAGCAGAAGAGTTACAGGCATAGAAAAGATAAGGAGTTTACACATAACAGAAGTCTTGTTCCAGAAACAATCTGAGGCCAAGAGTGTGTGTTTCAGTAGACTGGTTTTCTGTGGCATAAATCCAAGAAGCAGCTTTCAAGAGTTAAGATGATTTAATAGCTACTCTACTCTCACACTATCCTGTGGCAGGTGTAAGTAGTGTTTACATTTTAGGTGACCCTATTATCTCTGATACCTTAATGGTTTAGAGCTTTATTTTTCCTTTAGCAACAACTGTGCTTTTTAGTTAATCTTGGTTGATAAGGACAGGTAATTAAATCGTCCTGCATTTTTTCCCCCTCTAGAAGTGAATATTATATATCTAAGCGGAAAACTTGCTGTACAAGTGTTTTGCAGTTTAATGTGTTATGAGTAGTTAGAAAACATTTCAGTATTACGAAAGGGTACTAAGAGAAATGAGTACGGCAACTTGTAGTAGAATGTACTGCTAAGATTTTTTTTTTTCAGGTGGCAGGTTTACTATTATTCTACCTTTTATATGCATCTAAATTGCAACTGTTCAAAAACCCATTAATAGTTTCTGTAAAATCTTTCAAGAAAACAAGTTGTACAGGAGCAGGTAAACACAAATAATACAACCGGACATTGTAGCTGCTGACACTTAGATTGTGCTCAGTATTTACATTCTGTAATATGCTGTACTAATTTAGACAGGCAGTGCAGAACAGGTTTCTTACGGTTCTCAAACTACAGAATGAATGCTTGAACCTTTAAGAGGCCCCTTAATGGTGTGGGGAAAAAAACCTGCTTAACAGAAAAAAGAATTTTCTCATGAAGTTGCATCTTTTTATGTGGTCAAAAAGTAATAAAAGTAACTGGTTCTGAAAACAAAAGTATTTTACGGTGGTCATTAATGATTCTTGCAGAATACCTTTCACCCATCCTCTCTAGTGATGTATCTGAATTGGAGAGATCTTGCCTGCTCCTTAGTTTGGGTTGAACTGAGAGCAAGCAAAAACATGTCTAGTCACATACAGTACAGCTAGTCAGGTATGAGCCATGCTCTGAGTCATATGCAACATCAACAAAATGGTCACGTGCACCAGTTGTGCTAGTAGCTGGTGCAAGATAAATTCTATTGTTAAATTACTTCCAAATTACTGGAAAGACATACTGTGAGCTCTTGACAAGTGAAGCTTAATAGCAGTTACTTGAGTTAAGAGACTTTTTTCTTTTTACGTGATGAGACTTCTTGATGGTAGCCTGACGTAAGCTGAGTATAAAAACCATAGACTAGTGCACCCTAAAATTCATATTCTTTAGCTAGATAACAACCGTATGAACTTTAAAAAAAATTTTTTTTAGCAGTTTTGATACCACCATTGTCCTCATCCTTGAGGGAGATTACTCATTATTCTACAAACAGATCTTCCTAGCGAGTGTCCTTGAGACACTTTTTAATGTCTTATTTGTGGAATGGTCTCAACACCTAAGGAACCCTTCTGCATACTCCGGTTGATGAATGATTGTTGACAGGATGT